ACCCTAATTAACATTACAATTAAATACAAAATTTAAATTTAAATCAAATGGAAACAAAAAAAATAAAACAATTAAGCACCTAGCCACATAAATACCAAAAATAATTAAAATAAATAATGAAAACAATAAAATAAATATTAAAATTTCAATTATAACCCTTACAAAATCAGGGGTATTACAGTTACGTTCATTATACATATATCTGGAATACAATTAACTAACTAATTAATTAATTACACTTAAACAAAATTAAGGAAAGTAAATAAATAATTATAACTAAATAACCACACAGAACACACATACAATTTCAAGTCAAATAAATAATAAAATAAATACACACTTAAACAATATTAATTTAAACACACAATTAATCAATCAATTAATTTAAACAAATACAATGAACACAATTAGTCAAATAAGCACTTAAGTCACTTAATTAAATAAAAATACAATAAAAATCAAAGTTAAATTCCCATTTAATCCTTTTGAAAACTAAGGGTATTATATGTTGTGCGTTCTTCACTTTTAATTTGGGGTTTAGATTTGGTGGTGGTAGTGGTGGTTGTCACTGGCAATGTCTCCGACTATGGTAGCAATGGCATAGGTGTGTTTATGGTGGTGGTGGTGGCGGCGACATGGGTGTGTTTATGGTGGTGGCGACGGCATGCGTGTGTTGGTGGTTGTCACCGGTGATAGCAGTACAAATATATATATATATAGGGGTCTTTATGTCATTTAAGAATAAAAATAATTTGTATTAAAAATTTGAGGGTAAAATGATTAATTCGCATGTGTTTAAAGTCAAAAAGTAAATTGGGATGTAAGTGATAGTTAAAACCAAAAATGACCTAACCTCAGGAGATGTCTGTGTAATTTGTTCGTTGATGCCTGACGGTGTTGTGGTGTGATTTCATGCAAAATTTAGTTCTTAGAAAATATGATTGATAATGTGTATTCTTAACAATTAAACATAGAATGGTAAAAACATTTGAAGCTAACGAGGTTGGAGAAGATCTCGGTTTTCCTTATAAGTTGATTGAGATAAATCCAAAATTTGGGCGCGTGAAAATGATTTTATAAAAGAAGAAAGATTGTCCAAATGGGAACATAAAATTTTGAGATTTATCTCATCAAGTCCAATTTCAACTGTAATTTTTAGTATATTCTGTTGGAAACGGGGTATATAAAAATAGATACTTTTGCAGATTTATAGACGAATTCATTTCTCAAATCTGTTTCCGAGTGAATGAGAAATTAGCTCCAAAGTGAGACGTTTGATAAGCTTACATGGGTTTGCAAAATGTGGGAAGTGCTTGTCCCACATAGAAAAAATATTAAAATAATTTGAAATTTAAATAAGCCAAGTATGGGTTTGGGTTTGAGTCCAAGGGCACCCAAGTTTTTAAGATGGGGAGGACCTAGGTAAGGTCCAAACCATTTACCACACACGCACATGCCCCGCCCGGTTTGGGCTTGGTTATAAAATATGTTTAATTTTTTTAAAAATGAAATTGGACCTGTGCTGGATTTTAGTTTTAATCTTTTCTGGGCTTATTCAGAATTCAGATGAGCCTGTTTGCTGGGCTTATTCAGATGGGCTGGTATTTAATTTAAAAAACCAATTTTCAGTTTTTTCCAAAAAAGGGTTGCACCCATTCTGTTTTAAACTGAACCAGTGCATTCAGTTTTAACCACTTGAATTGAACCATCACATCCCATGCAGGTGATGGTTCAGGCCACCCGAAAAGGCACCTTGATGCCTGTATAAACCCTCCTTTGGATTCATTCCAAAGCACACCAATTCAGAAATCATTCTTCTCTTTTCTAAATTATCTTCTTCCTTCTCCCTTCTTCTATAATTGTCTGTGGGTTCGAGCCTTAGTCAGTGAGTTCGAGTCAGAGAGTACTACATCGAGCCGATTCACTTATTCATTCGGTTTGCAGTGCTACTATCAAAGAAAGACAAGTTGCTAACGGACGAATATGTCTTAAGGACATAGAATCAGATTCTACCCTCTTTTAATCAGATTCTTTTAATTTTATAGTTTTATTTCATATATATAATTATATTTTGTAATGAATTATAATATATATTATTATTTTATAATAATAGTTATTACTATTATATATATATATATACACACACGTTATATTTTTAGATAATATTTAAATAGGAATACATTATACTTTTAGATAATATTTAAATAGTAATACTATAGTATATTGTATACCTAGATCATATTTCAACAACATATTCATTTGAAACAATACTAATTAATCTCATCAAATCCTGTTATTAGAAACTGGTGTAAACACATTAGTAACTTAGAATCCTAAAAGTTACACTTTTAATGAGAACTAGCAACCTCCTTATCTTTATTTTATTTTTGTTTGGTAAAGAGAGAGATTTTAGTAGTACTCCACCGGAGGGTTTGAAAGAAGAGGACATAACAATAGGATACTGGATTTAGGAGCATTAACAAATTAAGAAAACGACACGAGAGCAAATATTGAATTATAGTAATACAATTGCTTCATTAATTATATATCGAATACAACAAATTGATCAAACCGTCTGCGCGCGCCGCTACATCAGCACCCATGATACAGAAAAGCGCACGATCACATATCATACATAATCTAGTGTTAGGGGGCAGAGGACAAAGTGGACTGTGTTATGTTTTTTGCAAAAGTAAGTAAATGAAAAATAAAAAATAAAAATTGATAACGACATAGTCTCGCCGGACAAAAACCACCGGACATGTGAAATTAAGTTGGTGTCAGGAGGTTATATAGAAGATGGGGTGGAGAACAAGGTGGAGGAGCTTGAAACAAGTGCAGGAGAGTGAGAGGAACACCAGACCGTACACAATTCGAAGACCCATATATATATATATGTATGTATGTATGTATGTATGTATGTGTATGACGAACCAATTTGATTAAACGAGAGTATTCAATATCAGAGACCGATGTTGGGAATACATTTATAGAGAGAGGAGAGTATGGATGGTAATAGGTTGGTTTTGGATTTTGTAAGTTGTTCCTTTGGTAAACAAACCGTGCTCATTAGGTTGACCAAAGGGTCACGTGTTCTGTCTAGATTGCGTACACATGTACGCTTTGCTGTTTCATAACTGTGTGCCAACTGGGAGGCATATCTCTGTCTTTGTTCATTCCACGTTCCACATAGTACGGAGTAAAAATTACAATTAAAACTAGAATTGTAGAGGTTTTCGAATCGAACTGAATCAAGACCAATTTAATTCGGCTTTGAATTACAATTTTTTATTTTTTTTTTCAAAAAATATTAAACTCAACAACTAATTACCAATCCACATTAATTTGGCTTTATAAAAGCAAATACAAATTTATATAACAAATGGGCAATATATAACCTCTCAATTAAAAAATAAAATATATTTGAAATTTAATATCAAATCAAATCAAATATTATCCTGCTTTTGTAAAACAAATATGAAATTTAGTAGTAAAAAATCATTTGACTGTAGCCATAAATTTGTGTAATTTTAAAAACTTATTGCTGTATAGTCGTGTGCAGTTTTATATGTGTGACATATGTTATATATTATTGTTCACTAATATTGTAATATATATATTTAGTTTATATTGCAGTTTAATTGGGTTCTAATGCGAACCAAAATCATACATTAATGATTCCTTGTTTTGGAACTTAATCTTAAACCAATCAAATTGAAATGACGATTTAGTATGATTTCTATCAGTTTCACGGTTCAAACGAATTTTGTGCACTCGTATAATAGTGTATTAATATTAAAAATAAAAATGTTACCAAACTGTATATGCATAATTGAGTAACAGTTGATATGGTCATGATGTGAGCCTAACATAAATCAGTCTAATTAATTTAATTGGTGCATATTATTTTTATAGATTTTTTTCAAATGCAGGCATTTCAATTAAAAAGTCTGCTTAAAATTATAATTTTTATTTTTTTCAGTTGTGAAAAGATTTTGGGAGGAGAAAATCTGTTGTAGAGAATATAAAGGGAAAATGCAATGCTAAGTTCAAAACAGAACAAGATGGGGGTCCATAGCTCAGTGGTAGAGCATTTGACTGCAGATCAAGAGGTCACCGGTTCGAACCCGGTTGGGCCCTTCTTTTTCCTTTTTTGCTCTTCACTGCATGCCACATTGCCACCATAGTTTTTCTAGTGCAGGTTGCCTAAATCGAAATACATGTTGCATAAATAAAATACATGTTTCACCTGAGTATATATATATATATATAAATAAAATTTTATTTTCCTTATTTTTAGTTGCATAAATAAAATAGAAGTATCTGTTTCATCTTTTATAGGGCCAAAATAAATAAATAAATAAAAATTGAACTGATGTGATATGAGTGTGGCATTTCATCCTAGGGTTTCACTTAAGATGGTTAAGGCTACTAGAGAGTAACATGATTCAATTATTTTAATTTCCTTATTAAAAAAAAAGGGGGTATGAAAGAAGGTGGTAATGCCAGCACTGTCATATTTATTTATTTATTTATTTTATTTTTTTCATAACAAAGGAAAACACAGTCAAAGGAGAAAGAAACAAACACAAAACCACCCTCAACCAGGCTGGGGAGGGAAGTCGTACTGGACTACAGTAACAAAATCCGAGGAGTTGAGAAGAAGAGCTCTACGACCCAAGGAGTGCGCAACCCCATTACAAGATCTAGGAACCCATGCAAGGCTGCTTGCATCGAAACAGAGTAGCAGGAGATTGATGCCTTCAATAATCACCGAGACCAAAAGAGAGTGGGATGGGCGTCACAAATTTGAAAATAAACAAGGTAAGAATATAATTTGAAAATCCCACTGGTTAGCAACACCATTGCACAAGTTGCAACGATTTTGTTTCTTCTTTAAGCACTCTTTCCTTACTTCAATACACCTCTTTGTTTGGCACATAAAGGAACCTGTTCGGCGTGTAACAACAATAAGGGCATCAGATTTGATCTTTCGTACATTTGGCATGCAACACATATCCATGGTCTTTCTTTGTATATATGTATATTTTGATCCCAAAAAAACATAGGTCTCACCATTACAAAAAATTTATTCATAGCATAAGATGGTCACAAGAAGAAACAGACACTAGAACACCGTCCCCTGGACAACCCACTCAGCAATGTATGATGAATGTGGTTGGGCATGAACATGAATCATGGAAACTAAATTTGCCTGCCTCAACTTCTACTCCTGTTAATCTCATGGCCCTGCCCCGACTTTCGATTATTTATGTTCACTTATTCAACCACTGAGGGAAGGAGGGAGGGAAGCTAACAACTCTTCTACCTATGATAAAATTGAAATAGTAGCTTTTAATCTGAAAGGAAACAAGACAAACTCATTAAATTTGTGATCTATTCACTCTAATTCTATGCTCCAGAACGGTAGTTCAAATATATATATATATATATATATATAGAAAGAAAAAGACAACCCTATCAATAAGACAGATCAAATAAAATATATTGTAATTGAAGCCATCTTCAAAGTTGATGGTGATATATGAATCATCAACTGAATTTGTAACTATGATGTGATCTCCATTTATTTAAATAGAAGTAAAATTATGCATTACTGGATCATCAGAGACGGGAGCACCGGCTAGATAAACCAGGTTGTATGATCTTTTGCTGCCAACCCATCCAACCAAGTCTGATGCACATGCACCCAAGTGAACCCTTCTGAAACACTCTCATCCTGTAAATTAAGCAATCAACTTTTAAAATATTAAGAAGATTAAGCAGACATTTAGTAGGATACTTCAGCACAACAATTTCAGAACTTACATTCGAACTTAATAGAACTGTCACCATGCAACCACACCGCTCTTCACCTACAAGAGAGCAAGTTTTCAGAAAGCATTTAGGCCACTTTTCCTACTACAAATATTGCAGCTATCTTGTCACTTAAATAATCCCACATTAGATCCTTGCTTTTCCTCTTATAATTCCTTTTTATTGGGATAAAAATGCATATATAAAGCTCCAATTCTATCAACAAAAGTAAGAATAATAACCCGAAAAGGAGCAAAGTTGGAAAGCATGTATATCATGAAGATTGTGATGATGATATGTTACACCATTCATATTCCTAAAACTGGACAAGAATAAGATATCGAAATTCAGTCTATTTCCTAGGAGAAAATTCCCAAAATGAAAATAGAAACTGCTTCCATTAGATGTATCTGCATTTTGCTTTTCTTTTCTGGCTAAATGGATATTGGACATATCAGAATTTTCTATGGGAAGTTATTTATATTTGGGCACCAGTGGTTGTGTAAGATTTACAAAACTAATAACCAAATCAAGCTTTCACTAATCTGAAATATTTGTAGAAGCCAAACAGAAAAGTTTTCTGCACTACATCCTTTTTTTTTTCTCTTAGGCTTCACAAAATATCTCCAGTCTTCACGACTAATTAATTATTTTCCAGAAAACCCTAAAAATACTTCTCCAATACTTCACAAAATATCCATTGTGGGCTGGTGCGATTGCCTCAAGAGGCTTTTGCTTCCTAGCTTGTAGGTAATAACATGTCTGCCGCAACCTAGAGCTGGATTCTGTGTGTGTGTGTTATTCACAATTTTTGGTTTGTCTTTGAGTTCTGACAATGAAATTGGAAGAGAACCTATCTCACTCTAATTAAAAATAACTTTCAAGTCTTGATAGTAATTCAATCCTCAATCCTTCTCAAGCTCAGTATATGGAACATCATGGACATTTATGTTCTCAAAGACGATGTTTCTTGTGTAAATTGAGATAGAAGAAACAATTTGGGAGGAAAAATAAAATAGATAGAGGATTGAATAATAAAATAAATAAAAATTATTAGGGAAAAGAACTTTCATGTAAATAATAAATTTGTTTATTCTTTGGTCTGTCTACAGCTCTAAACATTAAGTCCAAACCTAGACAACCATACTGTAAGTGCCACTAAAGATGGGAGTTTCTACAATGACCACAACAATACATAACTTCAAGTTTCATGTAACTGCATTAGCACAAATATAAAACTTTTACCTATGTTCCCTTCAATATAACTATAAAAAGGAAGAATATGAATTCAAAACATACAGATCGTTGTTTATATGAATTTAAAACATACATATCATTATTTATTAAAAAATCAAAGAACATATGCTACATTGAGGTCTACAGATGAAAAGAAAATATAGTGTTTTCCGAGACTAGAAAGAAAGCTGATCATACCACGGGATTAGCTAGTTTTACAGCAGAGAATGAAATGGAAAGGTGAAAAATGAAAAGAGCATATTGGGGGCAGGAACATGCAAAGGCAAAGGAAAACACCACTTTATTTTTTTTTTTTGGGGGGGGAGGGGGGAATGTCTCACCGTTTAGCTCCCACTTAGTAAACTTCACAAGCCATGTGTTTGAACCAATCTTGGTAGATAAAACCTGATCCACCCAAACCCGAAATTGTTTCCCTTGTTTGTCTCCATAGCACCCTTTCAATGCATCTATGCAGTCACGGAGAAGTTTCTCACAACCAGATGGATGGATATGAACACCAGGTGGATGCTGCAAGAGCAGAATAGTTAGTGAAGTACTAAAACAGTTCATTTAGGGAATAAAAAATGAATAAAATTGATGTTCAAGCCAAGGTCAAAAAGGAAAAAAGAAAGTATGACTCTTTCGACATATGAGCCAAGTGCTGGCAATTTCCTACTAAAAACTTAGGTTGTAAAGTGCCAAAGTGTCTTGAGTCATATGAGTATGACCATTGAAGACAAATGCAGACAAAAATCTGCGAAGAAAACGGCAAAAAATCTGGCATCCTCAATCACATATTTAGGGCACAGGTATAGAGAACTTAATAGACCTAGATTGATCTTGGAGAGGCTCAAAGTTTTGTTTTAAACGAATTTTTGAAAAGTGGCTTTTCAGAAACAACGGATCTCAACATATTTGAAAATCAAATGTTTGTTGAAAAGCAGATGATGTCAATTAATCCAGAATGCCTCGATCAATCTATATTTGACCAGTGAGTATTGATTGAGGTCTCGATCAATCGATATTTGTCCACTAAGTATTGATTTAGAGGTCTTGATCAAATTCTTTGGACCTTTATTTTTGGAAACTCTCAAATTAGAACTCTACAAGGGCCACCTATATTGGCTATAAATATGGAGTTATAGACAATCTAGATTATGATTTGAAGCCTCTAATTATCTTTACAAAAAAAAAAAAAAAAAAAATCCTTGAGAGGGTAAAATTCCTAATTACTCGATCTAGGGTTTCCTTAAACTCCATTATATGTAATTGAGTGTTCATCAAGGAGGATCTCATCAAGCATATCAAGCCAATTCAAATCAACCAATAAGATTACTGAAGAGAATCAAATTCACGAGGAGTGAAGTCTATTGATGAGTGGACGGACAACCTGGATGCTTGAGTGAAAAGTTTGGCGTTAGTCTACGTCAAAAGGTAACTTGGAGTATAGCGTGTGAGAACTTGTAGCTCCTTTCCCATATAGTGGATTGTATCTGACTAGATTTGGTCATCTGATTTTTCCCTGTTTAGGGTTTTCCAAGTAAAAATCATGTCTCTAGTCTGCTTTACTTTTTATATCCAGGACCGGTCGGTGTCAATATCCCTACGCAGCCCATTGAATTTTTGAGAGCTCCTGCAACCTTTTCTATCTATTGATCATCCCGTGCCCGAGTATGACCTACTCGTCTATCTTCAAAGAATTTTGGCCGACCAAACTGAAAGTCAAAGCTTTTGGCAGCCAAAGAGTTTGAAGACAAGACCCTTTAAATAACCTTACCTTAGGGCCAAGAGGAAAAGTGAATTACAGAATGCAGAAAGGACACAGGGTTGCTCTTTGATTGGAAAAAAAAGATAGATTTCCACAGACCAATCTTCTCGTTTCCTGCTTCTAGTATGCTTTACTTTTTATGGATACATGATTGTGTAATGGGTACAAACTAAAATTCAAATAACAACCAGCACAAATACCTAAAGATAACTGAAATTCAAAATAAATATCCATAAGACCAATTTGTTGGAATTTAGTAGTAAACTTCAAAAGGCAACCAAATATAGCATGGGATGAGGTTATTAAAAATGACTTCAAAAAGATAAATACAGTAGGTGAAATGGGAAAAGATTGGAGAGAGAATCCATGTGGCCGACCCCGTTCATATGGGATTAAGGCAAGGATGATGATGACGGTGATGATTTATTTTATTTTATTTTGCCAATTTTGAATTTGAAAAAGTCTATAACTAATAAGTTTATTAAACTTTTATGACAGTCATGAATCTTTGATTCTCTAATTATGACCTTATTTATTTTGTCAATTATATTTTTGAATTTTAAAAATTACCCTAATCCCAATATGCCTATAAATAGTGAGCCTAATCCATGAGAGCTATACGCACATACGCTTACGAACTTGCTCTATACAATATTCTCTCTCCCTCAAAGCTTCTTTGTTGCCATTTATATTTTAATTATTGAATATATTTTTTTTATAAGTATTTTTATTCTGAAATATTATCCTTCTATTACTATTATTTTCCGTCTACACTCATTTTGGGCAACTTTGATACATAAGAGACTTGATCCATTGCCTTCCTGTAGTCGTGCACATAAAGGAAGTGCCATTGAGAACTGATTTGGGTTGTATCTTAGAGTTGACTAGCACCGTCCGCACCAGCACGTAGGGAAAGACTATCAACTTTAGGACAAGATATTCATCATGTGCCTCTTCACATCAAACCAGCTTTTCTACAACTTATTTTAATTGTCTTATTTTATTCTCATTCTTTTCTCTTTTTGTCACATGTAACAACTATATATATATATATATATATTATGACTATCATTGCATGTGATTAAATACACACAAAACTAAAATATTCCCTTTGATTTAATTTTTGCATAAACTGGTTAAGTGTGATTTAGTGTAATTTTCAATTACACTAGTGCATATAAAATATATTTTTGTGTTTAGCGTAATTTTCATTGTAATACTAACTAATGCATATAAAATATTAATCTTTAACACTATTCACCCCCTCTAGGTCTAAATCACCACTCATACTCTGACATGTCAAAGCCTTGAGTCATGGTCCCTAGACTTAGCAATTGGTATGAGAGTATATCAATTGTTGACTTATCAGACTCAAGAAAAGCCTTTAATTTAGAAATAAACCTAACTTACCAACAATGTAACTTCAGCACAATTCTATCTGAATCAAGCAAACTGAAATTGGGCATACATTCACAAAGAACACATAAACATGGGTGTATACAAAGAAATTGAAATTTCTTTAACCACATATGAAACTCATGATGTCGTTTACTTTATTATTTAATTATATCATAAGCATGAGTGTATACAAAGAAATTGAAATTTCTTTAACCACGTATGAAACTCATGATGTTGTTCACTTTATTATTTAATTATATAAATTAAATAGAAGCAACACAATCTATATTCTATGATCTATCCATACCTATAAAGGTCTAAGGTGCATACTTCAATTTCTTAATTGTTCTCATTTAACTCACATGGATAAAGAAAAAAGGGGGTGAGCAGGCATACAACCCATATTAATAACTACTACACCTAAGGGGAGCAGATTTCCCTCCAATTTGTGAATTTGGCACATAGCATAATCCATGATCTCGACGGATTTGACTACCTCAATCACAAATTTTACCATGAATCTGATGAGTTATTTAGCAAGAACAATATATATATATAGGCTCCCCAAAAGCCTTAAAAGCTGGACTCAATATCAGAGTTTTGTACTGCCACAAGACTGTGTGATTTTGTTATTAAAATTTGAGATTTACATCCAAGTAACCACTTTATAAGATTTAGTATATCCAAACAATATCTTATTCACATTTTATGCTCTAGAGACGCTCGCATCGTTACACATTTTAGAGATCTATATTCCAGATCCTGCCCCACTCTTTTTGGTGGCCTAAATTACAACCAATTCTTCAATATGCTCACCTAGCATTGAGACATCTGAATCTGAGTCAATTTGACACAGGTGCAAGGCGGCAAAATTTGATTAAACTTAATATACTTTTAAATGTACAGTTTCAATAAATAACTGAATAAAGTAGCAAAAAATGTTCAATTCTTTACAGAACTACAACACAAAATAAAATATGAAATCTTGCCGAAGACAAAAGCATAAATAGGTTCAACTGTGTTTTATTTTCCACCCACTCATTTTATTGGCATAGTTCAACTCATAATCCAGTAAATGTTAATTGATATTGAGAATAAAAGTTCCAAGAATGCACGTACTAAATGCATATAAAAATATGAACATAAAAAAGGATATCGAACATACACAATTTGCTTTCAGACCAGCTAGATACAGCGCAGAATTCTCAACTTCTGCATGCCTCCATTTCTCATAAAACAAGTAGAATTTCACTATCTCGTTACCCGGATTGGGGTTTTCGACATTAGCCTCAAAGTCAGTAACATCTCTAGGAGAAGTACTTGGGCCAAGGTTAAAACGACCAATGGCTTGTATGATGCCTGCTGCACACCTCTCAGTCGCATGGATTATTTTAGGGTTATCTTTCGCATTTTCAGCATGCCACTTCAACAGTTCTTCCTGAGCATTGCTTACCTGCAAAATGAACAAAATTTAAAAAGGAAAACAGTTAGAATACAAAATTGTAAATTCCCAATGTGACGTTAAAGTGAGAATTTGATGATGAATTAGGTGAACCACCAACCATGACACCGTATACTTCTGGAATGCTAAACAGTTCAGCATCATTTCCAGAGTCACCACAAGCAAGAGTGTTAATAGGTAATTTTCCCTCAGTCTTGAATTTTTTTAGCAAATATGCAAGAGCTTGTCCTTTGCCAGCACCTTGAGGTAATATATCCAAATCCATTCCTCCACTGTAGATTATTTTAACATTCAACTGACCAACAACAAAGCAAAATGCTAAAACAATGAGAAAAAAATAAAAGAAGCTTCGAAATAAAAATATGGTGTAATTCAAAAAGTCTGCATCTATCTTAGCAGAATTTATTAAAAGAAATACAATTAATCAAACGTTTTTAAGAATTAACAGAAAAATAATGAAGTAAAAATATAGTTCAATCTTACCCCACGTTTCTCCAAACACCCAGAAAGAGCCTTCATTACTTGCTGGGCCTTTTCTTTCTGAACATAGAAGCTAACCTTGTGAGGTCGCTGCTCTGTTTCTGCCTGCATAACCCCAAAAAAAAATTAACTGGAATCCATTACATAAACCATTTTCCTAATCAAAGCATAATATGCCAATTCTTTTCAAAATTACTGCCAAAAGATGGAAATTATATATTAAACCAAATGTTATTGTCTATCTAGAGATAAACATCAACAAGAAAAAAGCTATTATCTACAAAGTACAAACCATACATGAAGAGTAAGTTCAGAAAACTTGCTTGTTTCCTCTGTGACTATGTTCCTGTCCCATTTCTGATTTAGACATTCAACCCAACCATCATCTGGCACCATTGAATTACCATATGTTATCTCTGTTCCCACAGACATTATGGTAATATCTGGGGTTAGCATGGGTTTTTCTTTCCTCAGCTGCTTGTAAAGTGTAGGTGACCTTCCAGTTGAGAACACTAGAAGAGAATCATGCCGATAATTGGCTTCCCACAAGGCATTAAACCTAAGCAGAGAGAGATTCTCAGGATCATGATGGTCAACCTGCAAAGCATCTTCATCAATAAATTGAAACAACAAAGAGGATAGAAGGAAGGCAGTAACAAAACAAACAAAAACAATACAAACCATTGTATGGTCAAGGTCTGAAACTATCATGAGACGTGCAGAACTCTTGAGCCGATCCATGATTGTTCTAATGCTACCTTGACCCCTGAAAAACGATTAACAAGGATTTATAATTCTAGAAAAAAAGTTGCATAAATTATTGTAAAAATAAATTTGTCATACGCTTATACTTCAGCTGGTTACTAACAAATTTTCAAAAGATGTATAAACTATCATATAAAACAAAGAGTAAGGATAACTAGAGATCCAATTGTCAGTTAGATTGGTTGTTCAAGACATGCAGACAAGTCAATGTACTTATAGAAAGTTATTGCAAAGTTGTAAACAATGTTTAAATAAATGATGACTAGATACAAGGTGTAAGCTTTGGATAAAGCCCACAGTTATTGTTGAGGGGAAAAAAATATTGTTCAAATCATTGAAAGTTTCACAGGCATATGAACAGTATATGGTTCACTCCTGCCCATACAAACATAACAACAAACAACCAATCACAATGTGCTTATATAAATCGCGATTAAGAAAAGCAGTTACAACAACAAGATCCTATTCGGAAAGCTAGTAACCAAAACATATAATTTCAAGTAGGAAATCCTTTTAGTATTATGACATTGAGAATCCAAAAAAAAAAATTACTATTCAAATGGAAAAAGATTATTTCCCAACTGTTTGTTGTCAACTACAAGAATCACTTATCAACTTCATTCCTATCTAGGATCCTTTTTTCTATTAAATCAAAGACTATCACAACTTCTCTACTCATATCTTTACTTGTCCCCGTAACACCTTTTACTTATTCTTAAATCATTCCTCCAGACTAGATTAGTTGCCAGCCTCCATGGCACTTGACCAGATCATCTTAAACTACAATCTCTCACCTTGTCTTCAATTGGTGCTACATCAAGCTTCTGACAGATACTTTTCTTTCTTTAAATTACATTTTTAAGTTTTTAAATGTGTTACCATTCATCCATCCTAGCATTCTAATTTCTTTTTTTGGTAAGCTAGATTTTATTAAAACGAAGAGAAAACCGCATGCATTCTAGTTTCAAGGGCATTTTTCCCTTAACTGCTTAACATTATATACCGCAATAATTTTGTCCTCCCTTGCCTTACATTTCCTGGTACATGAATCAAAAAACAACAATCTACGTTGTGACATCATTCTATCGTGGTGAAAGTTTAGAAATCTTCATTTGACCCACCTGGTTAAAAAAATAATAAATAATCCATTTGACCTATTGCAAATCCCTTTGTTCCGTCTCTTTTCACATAATATTTGCTTCCCATTACAAAATAATCTTTAATCAAACTTTTTTCTATCATTCCTCTTATGAAAACCATAACAACGTCTATTTTTATAATTTCCTTCCTTACATGGAAATTTCCTCCAATAGATAAAACTCTATAGTACTTTCCCTAAGGATCTCTCAAAACCAATCCACATGCTCCTATGGTAGCCGTTTAAAGCATTTACCCAACTAAAATGCATATGTTACTTGTATAAATTGTCTCTTCTCATCATACAAATTAGTTAACATTGATATATCTAGCACTCTTCCATATCACAGATTACTCTCACTGAAATCCAATTTTTGTGTTCCCAACATATTGAGGACCACTGTGGTTCCAAGATAATATTTCAGGAACAAGCTGTGAATCTCAATTTTGATCATTGCACCAAGAAGCTCCAACCAACCCCAACACACAGACAAATAAATAATTGATAGATCAGGCACCAAAAAAAAAAAAAAAAGAGAGAGAGAGAGGGGAAGTCCATAAGAATAATTTATTTATTTTTTATAATTCGCATCATAAGAATAATCATAATAGCAAAACAAACAGATAAGCATATAAATGAAGCAAAACCAAATAAATTAAATGCCGGTAAAGACACAAACAGAGCTGCCATTATTTTTCACAAATTGAATAAACCAATCCTTCAACATACGATCACATTCATAAGAGATGTATCAAGTTCTCAGTAAAACAAATATATATATATATATATATCCACAGAAGAAAACATTACCAGGAGTATCGGATCAAGCGACTTGAATTGCTAAAAGCACTTGCGGTTTATGAGAAAATTTTGAATTTCATGAACCAAAAGTAAATGAAGTTCTGCAAAACAAACGTACAATTAGAATAACCCAAAAAAATAAGACAAAAAAAGAAATAATAAATATATAAGTGAACTTATATATAAGTGTATATGTTTATATATATTACAGAGAGAACTAATCTTTGATGGGAGAAATGGAGAGAGATCAGAATAATAACAGAAAAGTGAACTTCGATAAAAATATAAAATAATAATAATAATAATCAAAGTTCTACATAATTTGAAAGACACGTAATATATATGTATATTACACACGCCACGCCAGGTGTGTTTATATTATATTATAGTGTATATATATATATATAGGAAGTGAATGGGGAAAATGTTACAGAACTAATTCTTTTGATGGGAAAAAAATGGAGAGAAATTGGAGTAATTAACCAGAAAAGTGAACTTTAATGGAAAAGAATCAAATTCTACAAAATTATACAGTGTATAGAAGTTTGTGGAGAGAGAGGGAGAGGGGAGTTCATTAATAAACAATCACCCACCAGGAATTGATGTGAAAATTAGGGCTCAAAAGATGAAAGAAGTAAACATACAAGTGGTGAGAGAGCATTGTTGTTGTGTGGCCCTTGAATTTGTTGGAGACGATAACGGAAGAGGGGGGAGGAGTATCGGATCCAAATGGTTTGGCGCTTCTTTTGTGAAGTGCAAGCAAGATGAGATATTATTATTCCTTACCACCGTCGATTTTGGGCATATGCTCAATTGATGGCCACGATAATATTAGTTGAGGCACTTGATAGGCCGAGGCTCAACAATCCGGGGTGGAAAGGAATGTGAAACGGCATATTCTCAAGGTATGGCTGCTGATGGGATATTTTTTTTTTGCTTTTAAATTTTTTTTTTTTCTTTTCACAATTATCTTAATAAATATATAATAATTGAACTTTACATTATCTACATTTATTTTAACTAAATTTTCTTGGAAACTAAATTTAAGACACCAATATATATATATATATATATATATATTTTTAAAATTCAAGATATCGATTTGATACTTCAAACACAATGTTATAAACATAGGATAAAATTAACAACTTCTATATTCTTCATTTGTAATTTACTAAAATTATTTAAATTTTAATTCATTTTTTGATCTCATTGTTTTTATTGATGTTATAATTTACTCTTTCTAATTTTTTTATAATGGACGCTACACCTGACTTATCTCTAATGGTTTGATGATTGATCTTGTCTCTCCTTCTTATGTTTCTTTTTTAACACTCAACATTTCACTCCCTGTAAAATTGTTCGTTTAATGAGTATTCTATACATATACTTTTCCTTTTAAACTTAATTGGTATTCCTTTATCACAAAAACAAATAATTAAAATATTAATATTTTTTTATATATAAAATAAATAAATAAAAACTTCAAATTGGGTTCAATTTAATCCCTAACTTGTTTTCGTAATATTAGTATAGGAAAAATTTTCCTTCTCTCATTTATAATTTTGTACCTTTCAAAAATTAATAAGTCATATGTTTTTAACAACACAACAAACTGATTGTCTTTTTATTGATGCTTCCACCTTAAGACTTTGTTTGGATAAATAGATGAGAAAAAAATTAAAATTATAACATTAATTATGAGAGAAATAAAAGATAGCAGTAATATGTAAATTATAAATAAATTTAAAAAGGAAATATATATTATTTTATGTTTGGAAAAAGGTAAAAAGAGTGAAAAATGGCCCAAGGGCACCCAAGTTTTTAAGAGGGAAATGACTTATGCAGGCTTGGGTCCAAACCATCTACCACGCGCACGCCCACCACCCCTCCTGTACCGGGCCGGGGGCTAGGCTTGATTGTGAAATCCAATTAATTTTTACTAATAAAAAAAAAAATTGTGAAAAAAGTATAAATATATATATATGTGTATATATATATTTCAATTAATTTATTATCATATCCAAGGTGAGACTTATATGTTTTTAATTTCATTCACTAAAATATTAATGTTATTAATTATAGCAAGTGAGTCTCCAAGTTCTTTATTTTTTTCCCCTTCACCAAATATAAAAATTACTACATTTATTTCTTTTATTTATTCTTTTATTTTTCCTTCCAATTCCATCAATCCAAAGGCTAACTCTAAGGCTATGTTTGGTATAGTAGAAAATAAATAATAATATTAGTTAAGAGAGAAGGAAAAAAGAAAATGAGAGAATATTGTTAACTACTTATTGTGTTTGGTTGATTAAAAAATGATAATAATCATGTTTGTGAAAGGAATTGGAAAAAACTATTTTAATGAATTTATTATCATATCCTTTTTTATTGATTTTGTCTACTATAGGAAAAATTTGATATTAATAAAATTTTATTAAAAATTATTGCATTTCCTTCCGTTTACTCCCACTTTTAGAAGGATAACAAAAGCAACCTAAAATGCCTAAATTGTATTATTCCAAATCACTCAATTTCCTTTCTTTTCCCTTAATGATGTATGATCATATTTCATTTCCTTCTGTTTCCTTTCTTTTCCTTCCATCACCCTCCAACCAAACTGACACTAAATCAAATGCATCCAACCAAACTGACCCTAAATCAAATGCATCTAGACCTATCCTTAAAGTGGAGGGAGGGGTGTGGGCAAAAATTGTGTGGGGCTTTATCGTTAAAAATAAAAAAATCACTCATATAATATGTATATAAAGTGTATAAATACATTATAAAAAATTTCTAACATTCAATCTTAAAATAAATAAGGACCTAAATATTGAAAAGACTAATCTATCACTCCATAATTGAATAAAAAATAGGTAAAAAACTAATTAGTTGTAAAATTATTAAACTGTCACTCTTTTTTTTATATATAATATAGGATTGTGGGCAAAAAATACGTTTATGGTATACATATAAAATATATAATTCCATATACATTCTAAAAATTCCTAAACATTAAATTTTTGTGCAATGCAATGACCTGAATGCTGAAAGACTAAAATGTTATGTATAACTGAATAAAAAATAAGTAAAAAAAACTAATTAAATATGACAAGTGTGTATATATATATAGATAGATAGATAAGGACATTATCGAAAGAGACAATGGTATTTTTGAAATTTTACATCTTAAAAAGAATTTTATATACTCAAAATAAATGATAAGGGTTTTATTTGCCAATGATAAAGGTGTTATTTGTTAAAAATATAAACATTAGTAGTGTTTTTCTAACTTTGCCTAAAGACATTATCGGAAGAGTTGACGGTACTTCCAAAAATTTATATCTTAACAGTGATTTCAACCCCTTTTCCAATTTGCTCATTTTTCAAACTACATAACCCTTTATTTGATAGTTTTTATTATATACCCAATATAACAACATATTATTTGTCAAAAATGTAAATATAAAGAGTATTTTTCACACTTTATCATTTTTTTTCTTGTTATATATATACACACATACATACATTCACGAAACATGAATTTTTTGAATATGGGTTATGTTGTGATTTATTCAAAGTATGTTAGTACATTTTATCGTTAAAACCCTGATTACTCTAGTTTCTTGACGTGAGTAAAATCTGAACAAATTCCGTTGGAATATGCCTACGGCTAATTAATAATTAATAATATAGCAGACCTTCAACAATGTTCTTTCAATTACACTATCCCATCTTCTTGAGGTATCATTTGTTCCAATCATTCCAGACCATTTCCTCTTCAATTCCATATACAAATACTACAAGAATTGCTATGGTCCATCACTTCACTCTGTTGATCAGTCACCATAAAAAGATACAATTGACTAGTTTCGGACCCAGAGGTCAATAACACAATCTTTGTTTGTAAATATTCTTGACGCCCTAATATTTGATGCTTACAGAATGAGTACAATGAAATTAGGGTTTTTACGATCCCGTGTTTTCACTCGGTAAAAGATTCTAAATTTGGCATTTTCACACTGAGAGACCAGAGACAAAGATTTTTGTGCTTTGACACTATCAAAACCCAATATTTTAATGGTCTTCATTGTTGGGTTTAAATTGGTGGTGTGTTGGTAAATAGAGGGATGGATGCATATTGATGGTGGATCATCTGTCATGCATGTTCGATTCCAGCGATGAGGTCAGTTTTATTATTATGATAATATTTGTCTGAATTAAATTGAAACATTATTTCCTGGTAACAAGAAACCAAATGCCTAGGGTGATTACATTCATTCTGACTCATGCCGTTATTGTTGATTTTAAGATTTTCAATGATGTAGCCTGTGCTAAAATGGATCAGTCATAAAGTGGATGTAACTTGTTGGAGATTTAAGGGTTTTTTGTAGCTCGATAACAGAGGCCAAATTTATTTGTTTTTAGGTCCTAATCTTATTTTTATTTTTATTTTTATTTTTTACTCATTTCATATATTAAAAGAGAAGTAGTTGGAACTTTGGTTATGTTAGTGTTTAATTCTCAACAGTGGATAAGTTAAATTATAGATAGGAGTATGGATTAACGCTTAGGAAGTTCATATTAGTAGATGTTGGATGAAATACCATAACCTCTAGATGATTTTATTTTATCTTTATTGTTTATGACTTGGAAATTGATGATTGCATAGCTTCGTCTTTTTGTCCCATAGTATTTTCATGAATTTGATTGTGCATTGCTTAAAGCTTCGCGGCCTTTGCCTCTTTGGGACATGGAATTTTAATGATACTGATTGTGTATTGCTTAAAGTTCCATGCTTGAATGTTATGTGTTTTGTTTATGAAACCCATATTTATAACCTCTTTTCAAAGATGCAAAGAAAAGAAAGAAAAAACTTACACATGATAAGATACAATAGGTGATACGAAGAAATAGGAAAAAAACTAAGATTTGATGAATATTTTGACAACTGTGTTTGGAAGAGGAGTTGGAATATTTTTTGTTGTAAGCTTAAGATTGATAAGATTTGACATTCTGGATTGGGATTTTAACAACTATGAATATTCTTACAAAGTTTGACTAAATTTTTCTGGAAATACTGATTGGGTTGTGAGCTTTTGCGCAATAACACGTGCAACAGTTTTGTTGGTAAAACCAGAACTGTATCGGTACCTGATTGAGACCAATCTCGTCAACTTTGAGCTCTTTTCTGAAATCTAATGAGATCTCGTTTTGCCTTTCGGGTCACATGCCCCGTTCAATTCCAATAACATTGTCGAGCCAGTAATTCCAGAACATATTTTCTTCGGGAAACAAAGATACCCTGCTTCAACCTAGCAACTTTAATACTTAGTAGCTATCTAAACAATCTTCCCACTGTGTAATGGTGAGAATCACCCGAGGTTTATTTGTGTTTCAACCCTAGAAAGCATTTTTTTTTTTTTCATTTGACTAGAATTTTCTAGAGTCAGAGCTGGAGAAGAAGCCCACAATATTGGATGCAGCTCTCCTTAGAAAATATTAGAAACATTAAATTAATTTGTGGAAAAAGTATAAGTTGCATCTGAATGTAACAATGATGTACAGCAAATTGAGTTGCAAAGTAACCCACGGGGATAACTTAATGGCAAAGACTCTCACCTCACATCTTGGAGGTTGAGAGTTTGAATCCCCTTGGGGCCGTCACCAGGGAATTTTCCCGGTAACTGCCCCATACATGTGGGACAGGGGGACTGTATGTGCATGGCGGTGGATTATGGAGTGCTTTAAGAGGCTTGACACCACCATCATCGACAAAAAAAGGAAAAAAAATGTGGGTTGGGTGGTCATCACAGCCAAATTTGAGGCATTTTGCAATACTGGGATTTATTCAGATTAGCAGTTGAATATTCTGTTATAATTTTATCTGAACTTTTGGGTATTGCTATGTGTACAATGGTGGTAAAGTTCAATCAATGATAATTGAACTAGGACTTTTTTAATCATTACAAATGATTGTGCATATCAAAGTAAGTTATTTTTTGTTTTTTTATCCTACCTCGACACATCAATAACAGAAATTGTGGAATCCATACGCATATTCAGTAGAAATACAATAAGTTGAAGTTGGTACTTGGTATAGCTGATGCATAAAGTGTTCTCATATTTTTAGGGACAAGGACCTACCAGTGAACAAAAGTTCAATTTTATGGGAAAATATTTAAAATGGAACTTACTTATCAAAAAAAAAATTTACAATGGAACTCCATGCAGTGATGTCCACATACATGCATAGGATAACATGTAACGGTCTCCTCTATATCACTTTCTGCTACCTGATGAATTTATAACTTCTTAAAGCTGAAAAGCTCAGAAGTTTTGGATCAGTGATTGTAGCTAGTATCCCTTTTCTAACTTTGTGACTCAATTCTTCGCAAGTTCTCTTTTAGACCTGTAAAAGAGCGGAAGCTGAGTTGCTCAGCTTTGTACTCTCTTGAAGATTGTCACTCTTTTAAGCTCCAGGTTGGAGCGTCATCGTTCGCAATGATAGGTATGCCAAAAGACGGTAGCCTACAACCATAGCTAACAGGACACTAACTTCTCTTAAACCACTGTCTGTTTTCATCCCATTGATTGTGGGACTGATGTGTTCATACTGCACCTTTAGAAGAAGTTTGTAAGTGTGGTAGTTGAAGGAGAGATAGCGGAGCCATGATATGAATACTGGAACTGTCTGCAATGTCACATAGACTATTATTGTTACTACCCTTTCCAGGATGTGGTGTTCAAAAAAAGAGCTTTCATAGAACTTTTAAGTCAATGTTAACTATAGTAAGTTCTTTCTCCTTTATACTCATTCAACCAACCTTATTATTATATTTTATATAAATGTGGACTTCGGTTGAAGAACACATTAGTTATTCAATCTTTTGAAAACTATTTTCTTCTTGAGTTTCAAATATTTTTGAGAATGAAAAGTCTGGGATGGTCTGACTTCTAAGCGTATTGGCATGCTTACCTTCACAAAGTAGCCACCTGCCAACATGAAGGTCATCACAGTTACGGAGGCTAGAGTTGTAGCCCTCTTTAAGTCCATCAATGTAGCCCCAATTGCTAGTCCGAGGCCCTGCCATTACACCCCAGCTTATCTTATCATGAAGCATAGTAAAATCTTTATGGTACCCTGTTGGTCTGATAATTAGAAAGAGGCATACCTGTGCTGCTATGATGCAGAGGAAAACTGTAAGAATGCTGAGGAAAAATGGACCAGCACTCATTCTCAAGCCTGCCATGAAATAGACAACAAGAAGGAAAAGTACTGGCAGGATGAGGTCAAGTGGAAGGTCGCTTGTAGTCCTGGCCAAAAAATATGCACTCAGTCTGTACATGTCGGCTGCTCGTTCCTTGTTCAGCATGGCTCTTTCTTGAGGAAATGTGAAAATTGCTGTGAAGACTGGAAAAAATCCCCAGAAGACAGCAATGAAGAAAAGCAGCCCTGCCTGCAATTCAGTGTTATTATTCTAGGTTGAGACCTGATCTTATATTCCATGTTTGTGCAAGAACAAATGTTCTAGTTACATGACCAACTTATATTAGGATTCTTTCATGATAGAGCCAGATGTCATTAGTATCTTCTTTTAAACATGATTCTTTAGAACCTTTTCTTGGTCACTTTAACTAGTATTTGTATGAATTTTATTCTTGCAATGAAATAATCAAATTTAGCGAAAATGAATTGATTTTTCAGTTATAGTTAGGTTTTGTAAATATTTTTCCATTGAATATTCATTCTCTGATCTTTTTGCTTTCTTTATATTCTGTTGGTTCTTTCCAATGTGTATGAGATTTGTTTTTACCCTCATTGTTGGTTGCATATCTGAGAAATATTATCAGAAATCATATTGCACTATTTAGAGACCAAAAAAGGTAAATCACATTGCAGAATCTCAATATTAAGAAGCAATGGTCTATGATTGCATGAATCAAAGAGGAATAATTAAGTGCCAGTTGATCAATCTCAAATGTTTAGTAGAAGGCCACAAAGGTCGATAATTTAAGCTTTATACATTAGGTTATTTGTTTACTTCTCCAGTACCTCTCCTCAGTTTTTTTGTATATAGCCACCTCAGTTGTGGCTTTTACATTGGGGAATCTAGTAAGGTTGGACAGTTAGTGTTCCATTTTGGTCGATGTATTTGTGTGCTATGACAAAGTAATGATTGCATACCTGATCTTGAAGTTCTTCAGCTTTGTTGCTACCTGACTGCCACCAGAGCAATCCCAAAATAATTGCAGTAGAGAGAACTTGGGTGATTCTCAACCAGCTAAAATAGTCATGCCTCCTTTCTTTGAGTCCTCTCCTGCATAATATGGAGAACTGTTCACACCAGCTTGCTCCCCATTCTCTCTTTGTGGAATACGCTTTCGATTTTACTTCGTCGTCAACCGGTATTGGAACCAGAAGTTTCTTTTTCTCATTTTCTGCTACTCGTGTCTCGTAGGCCTCTACAAGATACTGTTTAGAAGAAAAAGAACAAGAAAGTTAAACATACTTCATACATGGTTTCTCTATCAAGCTACCCACAATTTTATGCTCATGAAATCAATATTACTTTACCTCATGCACAACTGCAGGAGATGGCTTTCCATTGCTTGTTTCCCTTTCTGAGTTACCCATTTGCACTTTGTCTTCTAATTCTGATGGTACAGAAACATCATTAATGTTCCCATTTGCAAGGTCTAGCAGGAACTCTGCTGGGTTCATGGCAATCAGAGGGGAGCATCCTATGGATGAGAAATAAAGCATTGCTTCTGATGCCTTTCCAAAGTAAAGTAAGCTTCCTTTGCCAAGAAGGATCAACTTGTCAAATTTGTGGAATAGTCTGCTGGATGGCTGGTGGATTGTGGTGATTACTGTCTTCCCGGCCTTGCCATAAGATTGAAATAAATTAGTAACACCATATATTTAGTAGATAATTGGTTATTGCATGTCATTTGAATTATCTATATTCCTTATATCATATTAGTTTGAGTAATTATATGTCTATATCCAAACAACTAGGACAGAAAAGCTGCTAGAAAGATGGGAGTACAAAGGACTTAGGACATGATTGTATCATTTAGGTTGGATGCATGCTTGAGCAAGTGTTCTGAGGAAAAAGCTGTGACGAGAGGCTAAGGCCATAAACAAAAGTAAAAAATGAGTCTGGATTTAGTGGGATTGTTAATTTTGTGTGTGTTATGGTTGGGCTAACTGCTTATTTTTTAGGATGGTCTTTTGTTGTATTTTATTTATTTATTATTTTGTTCATTAATTCCCCACCACAACCAACCGCCCCCCGCACCACCCCCCCCCCCCCCCGCGGGGATGATAATAATATCTCTAGAACTTAGCCCTTTGATATTAGTTGAGCAATAGCTTGTTTCTTATTGTGTATGTGATTTCCTGAAGATGGTGTTTAGTTGAAAAAATAGAGTGAGTCTGTGAGAGTAAACAGAGAATAAACAAACATTGGCAAACTGCTTTTAAACTAAAAATATTTGTATGTGAATAAATGAACTTAAAGATAAGACTTTAAAAACAATATACCTCAGCTATATCTTGTAACATATCAACGGTCCTCAAAGCAGTTGTTGAATCTAAGCCAGAGGTTGGTTCATCAAGAAACAAAAGGGAAGGGTTGATTATTATCTCATTGCCAATACATACACGCTTCCTCTCTCCACCTGAAACACCCCGAACAAAAGATCCACCGATCATGGTGTCTTGGCACCTGTGTGAATAGATATTTCCAACTGATTAGTTTTGAGAAGAATATTAACTAATTTTTGCTTCTTTAACCCTTACAAAGTGAAATAATCTTCATCTGAAATTTTTAATGTTCTGGAGAGAGAGAGTTTACCTTTCTAATCCCAGCTCGTATATTACATCTGTGGCTCGCTTTTCCTTTTCCTGCTTCGTCAATGTCTTTGGCAGCCTTAAGAGAGCTGCATATGTTAATGTTTCCTTCACTGTAAGGTGAGGAAATAGAACATCGTCTTGAGTCACGAATCCTATCCTGCCATGTTTTTCATGTTAGTCTAATTTGTAATTGCTCTTTTGTTTCATACTTCTATTCATTTTTGCTGTAATATTCGTTTCAGACAATACTCCAAGGTAAACTTAGGGATTCCATGGGTGCAAGAAATCATAAAATGAAGTTTCAATCAGGTTTGATGGAAAAGTTTCAAATTCTGTTGCTTATGGTTTATATCCAAGTAACTCAACTTTTTTATCCACCTAGGGGGGAAAAAATCCACCAAATAAGATAGAAATCACTTTTTTTGCTCCTCTGTTTGCTTTTATTATTTTGATGTTGAATTACCATAGCTTTTTTTGCGTATGAAAATCAACTACTGATGTATCTTATTCTTTCTTGATATGCAGTTTAAGTGATAGTCGTAGCTTGTATAAATTCTAATATACCTTCGTTTGCATGCAGAAAATATACTACTGTTGTCTTTGAACAACTTCTCTACAGTTTTCAGTTCTGATATGGAATATTCATGCTTCTTTTCTCTGTGTTCATTTTTTAGAATTTGGATCTACTCCTTGAAACCAAAAACATGAACTTATAAGTTGATTTCCAATAACAAAATCTGCATAAACAGAGTTATTCCTTCAAATCTGCATTGTTAGATTCAAACCAGTGAATCAATCTCAATACACTAGGCTCTAGATTGTTACCTGCTTTTTAAGAACTTCGAATATGGCTTGTCATTGTAAGTAATTGAACCACCTGTGGTAGACTCCTTTATCCTTCCACCGAGCAGACTTAGGAGCGTAGTTTTTCCACTTCCTGAAGGTCCCATTAGTGCCAAAACTTCTCCAGGATTCACTGAACCAGTAATTCCATTTAAAATATCCTTCTCCACTGTGGATGTCACGCCTTTGAAAACTAGCTTGTATGTCACATCCGTGAACTGCATAACGTAGAACAAGACATGGAGCTATTAGTAAACACTAAACAGGCAGCAAATTCCTAACACTAGCTGTTTATAGTTATAAAGAAATAGGACAACAATTTTCGTAGTTTGCATCAAAATGACAACACTAATTCATTCAGGAAAAAAAAAATGTCAACACTAATTTTATGCTTGGGTCTGACTCAGGAATGAGTCCAACCTCAGTAACAGCTGAAGCAAGTTTGAAACCATACTGCAGGTTTCATAATCAGATATACAGGTATCTGAATTAGTTCCTTTGTTTCCCTAGACCAAAATTGCAGTATGTTTTATTATGACATGTATCGCACTGTTGTTGTTGGTAATTATCTAGTCTTGTACATAAATATCATATAAGATGAGATTCTGTACAAGACTGAACCTGACAGGATTGCCATGTTCAATGGGATGCGTTGATCTCTACACAAGTCTCCGTCCTTTCCTGTCCAAATAGATAGTATCAAATTAATCCATGTGCAATTCGGGGATGAGGATTTGACCGGGATATGCTCTGCAGATCAAAGAAAGGAAACTGAAAACCTACATGCATGGCAAGAATCATCACCTTCAGATAAATTGGTAAGGTAGGCTCTGTTTGAATCTTCTTCTTGCGCATGCCAGCTTCTATATCTTCCGCTGAAATGGGCATTTTTATAGTATGTATCAGTAAGCACAGACCTTTTTCTAAACTACTTTGTTTGAAAAAATTTCGTCCTTTCAGGTTATCCCGTGCGAATGAGCGTAACATCACACGATACTGTAAGTCTTAGCATGTTTTCTTGGATGATAAATGCATGTTTAGCAATACTTATTGTTGTTATTTACTTTGTTTCTGTTAACTTTTTTTTTTTCCCCCCAATATATGTACACCCTTGAATTTTATTTATTTTTTGTCTTCAAGAATTTGAAACTTTCTATTTCTACCGGAATACTATATTTATTCGTATGATTTTTAAGAACCCTAAATCATTCAATTTGAACATCCTGAATCAAATTGTTTCTTGTTGTCTAAGTGTGGTCTTTTCATCCTCAATCAAGTACCTTGTTTGGTTTTGGTATGGTCATAGTACCAAAATTTCTCCGAAAATCAGGGTGGTTTGTTACGGTTGATAAAAGAAGTCAAGTCATGTCATATACTCATATAGAAGCCTTTTTCTACCTTTCACGTTCACGGTTGAAAATTATTTTTGGCTGGTCATTTTAAGAATCGACTGTGAATTATGGCTGGCAAAGAAAAAGAAAAAAGAAGAAGAAGAATTTGGAGAAAAGTGGCCCTTTAGGTAATTTTATTAATTTGGTGAAAACTTTCTTGAATTGTTAAAAAATATTCATATTTAGTATATGATATTAAATTTTTTTGAAACTAATGAAAAAAAAAAAAAAAAAAGGTCATTCAAGCCGAATGAAAAATAACTGTACATCATAAAACACATTACATCAGTCACATATTAGAGTGACCTCATTTTATAGAAATTTCATTATTTAGTATTTATAAAAACAACTGTAGTAGTGAAAATTTAAAGTAAATTTAGTGAAAGCTTAAAAAAGGGGAATATGTATGGAAGAAGATTTAACTGCTTATAACAGTGAAATTTCAAAGTAGGGGTGAAAACTTCAAAACTGTGGAACTTGGATGTGAACGCTTCTGCCGAATCTGCTTCCAAAGTCTTGAGGACATGGAAGAAAATTTAGGTCCCATCACAATCTCCAGTTTAATCAATGGAAACTTTATCCTTCACTTTCTCATTTTAATGGGGCCCACTCTTCACCAGCTCCACACTGTTGGTCTTTTGTATTAAAAGCGAGGCCTGGTAGTTTCTATTGATAGCTGCATTACTTAAATCAGATATGTTTTCTTTACTCTCCCAACAACCTTTCTTTTCTGAACCAATCATTTGCTCAAGCTGAGCTCTTAGTTGTTTCCTGATAAAGATGGTTTTTGTAGATTATAAAAGGACCAAAACACCTCTATACTCTTAGTTATGGGATGATATGAACCAAAAAGTGTAATCTTTGTAAGGGTATTTAGGTCATTTAAACTTTGAATGACGTATGAATGAGGGCAAACCACTTTTGTTAAAATTTTCAAAAAAAAAAAAAAAAAAAAAAAAAAAAATGAAAATAGATGTATGGAAATTTGCCTGCTCAATTTATTTTATTTTATTTACAAAAACTTGCCTAATTAATAGTTTTTGAAAACTCAATAAAAAAAATAAAAAAAAATTTGTTTTGAGAGAACTTTATTTTAATATTCTCTTTAAATAGTTTTAAATTCTTGCTAATTGTTTTAAAAAACTGAACTAAATAGACTCTTCATCCATTTCATTTATTTAAAGATAAACAATTTTGCCTTTCATTTTTTACTATTAGTTTTAATTAATAAACAGATCCTAAGAAATTATGGTTATAGAAATGAATAGAGGACAAAAAGAAAAAAAGAAAAAAAAGAAGAAGAAACATTTTGAATTTAAAAACTTAGTAGAACTAAGCACTTACGAATATCTTCGTCACTAAATGGGCCGAGATCGGCGATCTCCTCCGGAGCCATGGTGAAGCCTGTGAAAGAGAAGGAAAATCCGAGGCTAGCGCTAGAAGCTCGGCTCAGAGCGGCGCCGCTGCTCACTTCATCAAAGTCCAGCTTCATTTGAGCACTTCTTGACTTTCTAATGTGTGTATTTTTGCCACTGCCAGTGCGCCCAGGTGATCCGGCTGCTAGTAGCTGTTTGCTCGACTTCCTTGAGAGGGTGGCACCACTCTCCGCTGCTCCTGCTGCTCCTGCTGCTCCTGCTGCTGCCTCACTCGACATCGGTGACTTCATTGCTGCCATTGCCGCCGCCACTTTCTCCACCAACTGATCTGATTTTGTCCTCAACAATCCCGGACTCGAGTTTGATTTCTCCATCTTTTACTATATATTGTCATGACACATGCACCCACAAGAACTTTTTCAAGTTAATATACAAATACTCATATATATAAACTAGAAGGATAATTTGAAACTTAGGAATCAAATTTAAAATGCCATTATATAGGTGTGTGTTATATATCTGAACCATGCAAATTTGATGCTTTGGATACAAGTAGCTATTATTTTGCCTAATCTAAAAAAGGTTAACATGTAATTTACTTTCTAATAAACAAAAACAGCATGACAAACTATTTATATAACTTCTGACATGGTAATCACTTACCACTTTCTAATAGATAATAGATATGGAGGTGTTCAATGACTTCTACACTGAAGATTTTCCAAGTAGAAATTATAAAACACACACACAGGGGGGGGGGGGGAGAGAGAGAGAGAGAGAGAGAGAGAGAGAGATTATGAAAATATTGCCTAGTAGACCAAGAGAGAAGGAAGATACATGTAAACGGTAGAGGAAGACAGAGAGTGGGATTAAAAGTACCTTTTGGAAAACACAAGTCTCAAACTAGTAGAAGAATTAAGAGAAGATCTGTGTTTAATAGGGAGAGTCTACTCCAAGTACTAAGGGTACTAAATGATCACCTTCTCTTGTACGTCCCTTCTTATAATGAGCAATTAAGAGGGGACGTGGAAAGTTACACAAGTACCCCCAACCTTCATCATTATTAACAAATGCATGCATAATTCCATTTCCACAATTCATGATTCATGACATAGATAAATCTGATGGACCTAACATCAATCACATTCATGGAGTTATAACATCCACACCGTACACGTGTTCGGACAGTTCATGTTCCATTTTGTTAGGAATTTCTTTGGTTTTGGATCTCAATCAAGTTCTTGAGTCGATTGATAGTAAACTTTAGAAATTAATGTTGCTTAACCTTATTAGGGTACTTGGAGGTGGCACCTTATCAAAATGGTGAAGATGACAGAAGCCATGGTCCTTAATGTCTGTATTATGAGGCCTTGGTTCCATCTCAAGTTACCTATCTTGCAGGGTACCTACTATCTAGCAAAATGTTTTGGAATTTTGCTTATGTCATGTGCACCATTTTTTTCCATAATTCAAATTGGATTTTGGTATGTTATCTCATGTGGTCCTTTTCTTTTATTTGCCATAACTGTTTAAGACTTGAAAAGTTGAGCAAATGTCATCGTAGTGTCACCATATTATCATCATCGTTGTCTTTATTCTACGATTTAATAAAGCCATTATTCGACATTAAGCTAGTTGCATGCAATGTTAAGATGGAAAGATTGTCTAGACCTAACATTTAGTGTTATTATGCTTTTAAGTGATTGCTATTAAGCTTGTGGTATATGTAGGGTCTTTAGTCCATTAGAGATGTTTACGTTTCGATTCCACTAGGCATAGTAGTATGGTATGTCTTCTCACTTGTCATTAAAAAAAAAAAAAAAAAAAAAAAGAGAAAAAGAATATTGCTACTGTAACAAATAATTCAGGTCTACAGTATTAGTTAAAGAATTTTTATTCACTTGGGTATCTCGATCACTTGAAACATATTTAGAGGCAAATAAAATTTCGCCAGATGTTTCATGTCTAAATTATTAACTCAAATATATATAATTTTTTAAAGAAAAATTTTCCTTTCTTCCTAATCTTTTTTAAAGAAAATAAAGAATGAAAAAGAGATTGTGTAAGTTCTCTCAAACTTGAATTCGTATATTTGTTGTTTGTCATTTTAAGCTTTGCCATTAAACTAAAATAATGGCATCATAAGAGAGTTTAATATCATTCTTCAGCTTTATATAATTTTCACTCTATTTAGATTTAAACCTTAAAAAAAAAACCCACTATTTGTTTTCTTAGTATTTTTATAATTTAAGAAAAGATTAATGTCATTTCCAAAGATTAATGTCATTTCCCCTCTCGCTGTCTTGTGTCTTAAAATGGAAGTTCCAACGTTAGCTTGACATTTGTAATACCAAAAATCGTAGATCGTGTGGGAGTTAAGGGCAAGATGGTAACTTCAAAAGGAGGTTCAATTTGCTGTATGAGTGGCTGTAAGGCGGTGGAAAAACAGGTGCGGACAAGTGGCTCAAAAGGACAATGTTGGTGGTTCCTGATAAGGCACTGTCTCGTGTCGGTGCATGGTTGGTCACTGCATCTCACCACGTGGCATACAAAGTCCATCACATCCCTCCATATTGAACGTACGATGAACGACAATAGTCCATTCACAAGTCAATAAATATATATATATATATATTTTTACAATAGCGGTGTCCCCATTCGAAAAAATTACTCGTATTGTATTACCTGGACCATTGATTCCACATGGTTATTAAAAGGGGGAGACACTTTTAACTTTATTAAGATATGATGAGTAATATTGCAATTGTTTTTTAAAAAAATAAAATGGGATTTAATACAATTTTAAAGTATAGTATGACTTAATTACAAAATTAATACAAAGTTTTTTTTTTTTTTAAAAAAAATCCATCCAACCCTAAGCTTAAATTAGTGATTATATTCATGAATAAAATGAGTCTGAATAATTTTTTTATTTTGTATAATATAAAAATGTATTCCAATTGTGTGCCTTATATTTGGAGATTTTTCATGACTATATTGTATTTTACTTGTTTTGTTTGTTCATCTCCCTACTTTCTAAGTGTAATCATTTTACGGTAGAGGACACATTTCATCCACTATTTTTATGTGAAGTATACATCTAGAGTATTACTGTATTACTAGTATAAAAATAAAATTTTACAAATGATATACGTATTTTTATTAGGGTCAAGTGCAAAAAACATCCTTAAAGTATGTTTACAATACATATCACACCTCTCACGTGCAAAAAACACTTCTAAAGTTTCAATTTGGTGCAAATAGGTTCTTCTGACAAATTTAAACCCTAAGTTGATTAAATTACCCTTACTGAACCATTTTATAAAATGTATAAAAATAAATAATTTTGTAAAATGACTGAAAAAGATATTATTGGATAATGTCTCTCTCGTACAAAAAATACCCCTAAAGTTTTAATCTTGTGCAAATAGGTTCCTCTGACAAATTTAAACATTAAGTTGACTAAATTACCCTTACTGAACTATTTTATAAAATGACTTGAAAATGATACTATTGGAGGACGTGGGCAATGGACAAGTAAAGATAAAAATGTAAAATAAAAAAGAAAAGTATAAAAGAAAAGTAAAGATAAAAATAGAAAATAAAAAATAAAAATAAAGTGCAAACTAAAGAAAATAAAATTTTTCCAAACTTCGAAAATCAGTGTGCACTGATATTGAGATTTTTTTTTTTTGGTTAATAGTGTTGGTACGAAAAAAATTAAAATAAAGAAAAAAAATTAGTAGAAAAGAGTAACTGAAATCTAAAAAAATTCAAATCCTTGTTTTACAAATTCTCAAAGTTTTTTTTTTTAAAAAAATGTCTAGAAATATATATAGAGAAAAAGTTAAAAAAGAAAAGAAGATAATGTGCACGTAACACCCCTATACTATGAGATTAGTAGCATACATACACCTTGAGCATTTTCGGAATAGTAAAAGGGCAACACAGGTATTATAGAACTAATTTATGTCATATGTAGTATTTTTGCATAATGTGAAAAGGTTAGGAGTGTTTTTTACACACTTTTTAAAAATATAAAATAAAAATACTACGCAAAATATACTTTTAAGAGTATTTAGCCTATCGCTGTGGAGTTGGTTGGCTCCACAATCTCCCTCTCACATTTTAAGTTTGGAGTAACAAATGGGATGATGATTACACATATTGGCTCTGTAAAACTTCATTTTGTCTGTGAGACAGCAACACTCACATGGTTAATGTGAAACAGATTAAATCCCACTCAAAATCTACTAGTACCAAGCAATAATGTCTTTCTTATCTTGGAATAACGCCCAAAGAGGAAATTAGGGTATGCTTGGCTACTTACAGAGGAAATTCGGGCGAGACACCAACACTCACACATGCATGGCTACTAACACATTTGCCATCCTTTCTTTCCATTATGTCTAAAATTTTGTCCTTTTTCGTAAGATAAAATCTGAGGGCATAATTGTCATTTTGTATCAAAAATAAAAGGAGGAAAATTCTTTTATTGTAAATTTTAAACCATCCCCCGGGGCACATGTGAGAGAGAAATAGAGGTATTTGAAATTTCAAAACTACCATAGCTTTTACACCAATCCCATAATTACTGTTTTTTGCGCTTAAATTTTTTTAAAAGTACTTGTCCATTCGAAAGTATATAGGAGGCGGAAGGTAATGGGTGCACTCGGTGCATTCATTTTAACTATAACTGCATATTGGGTTCATTTGTGGTACATGTTCTCGTGCACAATACTTGTAGCTTCGGTTGCTTTGTTTCTTAGCTTTTACCTGCTCTGATAAAGGATAGGGATGACAAAAATCTCTATCCTGACGGGCCGCTCCGTCCTATTTGAAGACAATTTTGGAGAATCGATTATATAAATGGAGACCAGAATGAGGACTATTTTAAAAAACTCAACAAATTCGGGAGATGGTTTCTCTGCCCCAAATATATTATAAATTTATTAAATTATATTTACATATTATGATATAGGTTAAGTATATATATTAAGGATGACAAAAATTCACACCTTGGTAGTGTCCCACCTCGTTTGGGGCAATTTTAGGGAACCGATTATGTAAATGGAAGAGGGAATGGTGGCTGCTTTGAAAATTTTGATAAATTTTAAATGTGTTACGTGGGTGAAAAAATTAAACGAAAGTGGGAATGAAGAGGGATAGGGATGATGCCCGCCATAAAAGGACATCAATTCTCAATGATGAAAACATATCACTTGTAAAAGCGCCCGCCTCGTTTGAGGTGATTTTAAGAAACTGATTATGTAAATGGGAACAAGAATAAAGGCTGCTTTGAAAAATTTGACGAATTTTAAAGATGTTATATAGGTAAAAAAAAATTAAATGAGAATAGAAATGAAGATAATGCCCGCACCCATTGCTATCAGTAAAGGACATCAATTCTCAATGATAAAAACATACCACTTGTAAAAGCTAATTGAAAGTATCTTGATGCGCTTCGTATTGTCATTTCTATGATTCTATCCCAACATTGTCAGGTTAATTTTTTTGGAAAGATTTATCATTTTGTTGGTAATAGAGAATTGTATGAATTGTCACAATAGGAAGGTCACTTCAGTCTGCGTGAATGAACCATCTCAATGCAAAAATTCCACAATGGCTATGCACATTTTATATTTTTTCAAACATTATAATAGATATTAATACTTGTCAACAACAACAACTTTTTTTAAAATTAAATAAACTCACGCACTCATATTTCTCTCAAGACTTGAACTTCTGATCGTACTTTTGAAGAGATAAATTTATACCAACGGGATTATTACCCATTTTGTTTATATTCATGCTTCTTCCTATAACAGAATAGTAATAAAATTTTTGTGGTTACCATGAATTAACA